AACCCTGCAGAGCAGTGTGGCGACATCAGAAGACTGACAGCAAGGGCTCACGGGAAACGGCTCGAAGAAGAGACCAGACGCTGGCGGGATGTGTGTGAAATACTGCTTTTTACTGGTTGGCACAAGATTACAATCTCTAACTCCAAAGCCCTTCCCTCCCACACAGCTCACATGGAAGGAAACCGGCTGATTAGCACACAGAAGGGTCAGCAGGCTCACGGGCTTAAGGATTCGTTTTTACAGAAAGTCATGGGATGTGGGAGCAGTGAGCTCTGGCGCAGTGCCGAGCTCTCAGGACTGCAGGGGAGGCTGTCATCCCCTGCTTCTGGCACCACACAGAGGGCCATGCTGGGAGGAACGTGAAGGGCCATGTGCCGGGCCGCCTGGGGGAGGGCATGGCACCTGCGGGCACCTGTGTCTCAGGCTGGGCCCCGCAAGCAGGCCACACCCATGGGAAGGAGGTGGGAAGTCAGCCAAGGGTTCCCGCCTTGGAAAAGGGAAACAGGAACACACGGTTTCCTTCTGCCCTCTCCGGGCCAGATTCCACTGCTGGCAGTGACCGGGAAGAAGCACTGTCCAGACGCCTGGCAGAGAGGGAAGCCTGACTTTCCATGCAGTGCCAGGCCAGGCTGGCACTGACAGCAAAACAGAACCGAACAAAGATGTAAAGGAAAAAAGACCACACAACCACAGGTTGGTGACCCCTCACCCTGCAGCGCAGACACCTGGTGGTCCTGCCCCTCCTTGGGCTCCCCGATCGGGGCTCCCCCCGGCCCCGCTTCAGAGGTGACTCCACCTGCCAGCTGCACCCCCACGACTCAGTCTCAACTCCACAGGACCGGACCTGGCTGGGGCGTCTTGGCCAAGCTGCCTGTGCCCCATAGGAGGCTCTGGAGCCGCGGGTCTTTTGGGAAAGCTACACTAGTCCAGCCCAGATTGTGCCTCAGTGCAAAGGCTCCCCGAGCAGAGGCCCGCCTGCCGGCACGGCCCTCCAGCACAAGCACGCTGGAGCTCACCCTTTCACACTTCAACAGTCTCAGGACGAAGGGAGTGAGGTGCCTGTGGTGAGGACAGCCCTCCGAGCCCTACCTGGACTCCACACACCACGCACAGCCTGTCCCCCACGTCACGGGAAGGGTGCCAGGAAGGCCCCGAAGTAAAGGCTCTGCTGGCCACGCCAGGCTCGGGCTGCTGCCGCGCTCCCTGAGGCAAACCTGGGCGGGTGACAGGCAGTTTCCAAGCATCCTTCTTTTCTGATGCGAGGCCTGCTTCATCTCCTAACTAGGACGGCCTCTGCGGCCTGGCTCAGGGCCCTGCCTGTCCCTTCAGCAGCACGGCTGCATCTGCTGCTTGAGGTCGGGAACAGCTGAGGCGCTCGGCGGCTAAGCGAAGCAGTGGAGGCAAGTCAGATTTGCTGAGGGGACAGTCATGTTGGGAAATTCTGGGCAAAACCCCTCTGAGCGAGAGGAGAGGTTTCCGCCTGCAAGCCGTAGCAGTTTAGACAGTCTGTTGCTCCCGACCTCCTGCACACTCCTGGCAGGTCACAGGCTGGGGGCTCCCTGAGAAAGGCCTCAGGTCCCCTCTGTGCAGGGTCCCCAGAACTGGCCTGGACCTTCCCTGGCCAGAGTCACACGTGTTACACTGAGGAACCAAAGCCAGGTGTCCTCTGGGCCATTTACTAGTACACACTTTCTCCGGGACAGGGCGTTAGGTGAGAGGCTAGAGCTCAACCCTAGGGGGAAAGCAGCAGGGTCAGGGCTGCTCCTGCGGTTCACGGGAGGCAGGCAGGCGACACTGGAGAGCAACAGAGAGGGCCCAGCACCGTACAGAGGCGCCTGCTTTGCTTCCTAAAGATTCCTACGATCCTTAGGAAGGCCTGGGTGGGACCTTTCTAAACCCGGAGGAGCTACTTCCAGCACCGCTGAGCTCCCAGGATAGCCAGCAGGGCAGCAGGTGGGGGAACAAAGTCTTCACCGGCCTGGGGCGGGGGGTGGATGGGTGGGGGTGGTGGAGCACGGGTGGTGAGGACACCACAGTGACAACCTGGTGAAAGGATGGTGCTGCCTTTGGTGGTGTTGCCTGGTAAGAAGCGTGGTAAGTCTTGGGGTTCCAAGCAGGGACTGTAAACCGAAGGAAACCTGGGGTGATTAAACAACTGGCTGCTGGAGGCAGGAGCAAGGCTCTCCCCACCTTCCAGAAACAGACCTAACTTTCCAGCCAAAGCATCTCCTCTTCACCAGGCCCCTCTGGCCTGCTTCACTCTGAGTTTGTGGGGCCTCCCAGAGAGATCGCTCCCCAGGGGGACAAACTGCAGATCACCAAAGTACTGTACATAAAGCCCGAGAGGCATGACTCTTACTTCAAAAGCTTAGTGTAAAAGGACAGCCAGAACTGTGTGACTGCAGGGTTCGGCATGCCAAAAGCAACACAAAACATGAGTTTGCTCTTTTTATTCAGTAATTTTTTTTTTTTTTTGGAAACGGTCTGGATACATAGTTCAGGCTGACCTCAAACTTACAGCAATCCTCCTGCCTCAGTCTCCTGAGTGCTGGGATGACAGGTGTGTGCCACCACATCTGGCTTTATTTATAATTTCTGAGGGAACTAGGGTTACTCTGGGAGTGAATGGTACCATTTTCCCAGGTGGCCAGTTAGGCTTCTTACATCCCTGCAAGTTACCAGCTGACCACAGGCTTTGGGGGTCAGTGTAAAAACAGGGCCAAACGTGTGGCTGCCCTGACAGAGGAAGGAGCCGGGCTGCTGGCTTCTAAAGGAGACTGCACCCGCAGCCGCCAGGCTCCGTCCACACGATGTGCGGACCACAGCTATCTTTCATGGACTGCAGTTGGTGCTCCCCAATGTACGATTTTTACCTTAAAATCTCCGATGTCTCACTGCTTTAGGTGACACCTCAGGTGACGTGGGTGGTGAGGTCACCCTCACACAGCCGACATAAGAGCGCAGAAGTGACCCGAGCCAGCCAGTACAAGCGAGGTGTGCGGTGACCGAGGCTCCACAGCGCCAGGACACAGGCTCCGGCAACAGGGCTCAGCGGGCAGCGGGGACGGCAGGGTGGCTGAGCTCAGTCCTCACCACGTTACTGCGGCACTGCAGAACAGCCACTGCTTCAGCGGAGCAGCCCAGGCTGGTGGTCACAGTTGTCTTCCGTGAAGACGGGCACTATTTTCTGAACCGCAGGAGGAAGCAGGACGAGGGAGCATCACCAGTGATGCCAACTCACATTTCTTCTAGAGCAAAAAAGCAACACCACTGAGGTGATTCTTCCAGGTGTTTGCCCAATTCCAACCCTAATCTCAACTCCGACAGACTCAGAGCGTGCTTCACACATTAAAATCGTACAGCTGTGCCGAGAATCACCCTGAGGTTAATAAACCCTTTCTGCAAATCCAGAGCGATGTGGCTTGGGCCGAGGTGCAGCCCAGAGGGCGTGGGGCTGGGCAGGCCGGGGCGGCTCAGCTCGGGGCTCTGCTGAGGGGGCTTCGGAGCAGCACAGCAGGGAAGAGAAGGGAGACTGGGAAAGAAGGGCAACAGTTCTGCACAGGACCTTTCCCTTTAAACAAAGACTCACAATGAGTGAACTGTTCTTCTGAGTAAGCCTAAGGGATTTCACGTGGGGTGATTTTTAACATCGAGCAGAAAATATTTCTTTGCCATAAAGGAAGCTGCCTGTGTAGCAACGCGTTTACTAAACTACTGCAAAAGCTCAGGGTAGCGACCTCCTCGACCCCTCATCCCCGGGGAGCGGCCCTCAGTTCCCAGGGCTTCACAGGGAGCCAGGCCAGGGGCAGAAGTCTTGTGGCACTGCCACCCTGGGCCTCGGAGGGGCAAGACCCCCACCCCTTTGATCCTGCCAGATGGCTCAGCATCCAGGGAGCCTTGCCCTGCGGGTCAGATGGGCACTGGACACTTGTGAAAACAAGACCCAGTCCGCCCATGAACTGCTCTGGCATGTTATGCTTGCTATGAGAATCTAATGTGGCTACAGAGAATCTACTGTGCTCGACCCCTAGCAACACTCCCCACAATTAGGTCATGGTCCAAAAGTGTCACAGGACCTCACTGGTATTTCCCCAATGGCTGTAATTTATAAACTAGAAAGAAGAGAGAAAAACCTCGGGGGACGGGGATTTAGCTCAGTGGTTCTGCCGCCTGCCTCGAAAGTGCAAGGACCTGAGTTCGATCCTCAGTACCGAAAAACAAAAACAAAAAAACCCGGGCCAGGGATGTAGTTCAGTGGCACCTCACCTCCTCGCAGGTGCAAGGTCCAAAGTTTGATTCCTGGTACTGGGGCGGGGGGTGTGTGTGTCCAATGCTCTCTTCCTGTATCCTGAGTCTGGTGGACTCTGCTGGCCACTCAGTAACTGGGAATCCAGGACAGGCAGACTGACTGGGAGCCAGGGACTCAGTTCCAGCCCTGACACAGGAAGTGCTCCCACAGAGGCCAGCAGTGGGGCAGAATCAATGGCAACCCTGCCTGTGAGCCATTCTTCATGTGGCGTAGCTTCTCACTCTTTTTGGTTTCTTGGAGAGATAAAGGTTGTTGTAACCATAGGTCCAACCAATCTATCACAAAAGTACTCCAAGCACACATCAGTGAAAATGGCCATGAGGTTGATGGTGCCGGAGAGGAAAACCCCAAGCCTGCTCACTGGAACCGGAGCGTGGCCGAGGGCAGCAGCTCCCCACTTCCGGTCCGGCCACACTTTGTCAGCGCAGCAGCACCAGCGCGCCCCAGCTCACCCTTACAGGGCCCGCTCATGCCCCAGTGTGGCCATCTTCCCCACCCAAAGGCGAGGAGGACAATCAGGAGCAGACTCTGGGGTAGTGGGTCCTTGCACACCCTTCCAAACAGCCTCAGATCACAGGTCACTGGTGCTGGTGCAGCTCCTTCCTACTACTGATGCCTGTGAGGCACTTTCAAGCCATGCTGTGAAGGCAAAGTTATCTGGAAGTTGCATTTTTTGGATTTCACCCAGAGATTAAATTTACTTTATTTATTTCCTCTTTATTTATTTGCACAGAACTTTGACTGGCACCCAAAGCAATGCATTCATTTTTAAGCAGGACATGGACAGTAAGCTGGCATCTGGACTCAAACCTCCAGTGCTGTTCTCTCCCGGAACCCCACAGGGGCCATCGGGGCTTTCACTGGAGAGGGGACTCCGGGAAACTCCCAGCACTGCCTTTTGGCTCTGTGTTTAAGGTTAGAAGAAAGAATGCAAACTCAGAACAGCAGAGCAATATTTAAAGTTCACCAAGTGTTGTCTCAAAAAACACTCAACAGGGCCGGGGATTTAGCTCAGTGGTTTCGCCGCCTGCTGCACAGGTGCAAGGACCCGAGTTCAATCCCCGGTACCAAAAAAAAAAAAAAAAACCCAAAACATTGAACACTAAATGACACAGGGCTACCAGATGTGTTTCTCTTGGTGGGAGGGAAAAGCAAAAGCTTTTTAAAGTTTGAGTATTTATTAGAATCTTTGATTGAAGAGTACTACGACTTTAATTTCACATCTTGGCCATGTCTGACAGGAGGTGTCACTGAGAGAGAAGAGCAACAACCTCCCATCCTAAACCAGGGCCTGGTCAGTGCCACCCTCTGTCCCCTGCCCCCACCCCGCCCCCCATTCCCAAACCCTTTCCAAAACCCTCTCACTTCCCAAGGAAACCACACAATGGGCCACTGTGACCACAAAATCTGTATCACAACACCTGTATGAAAACCATCAAGACTGCAGTGAGCCACACCGCTGCCGACTGCGCAGCCTCCTCTAGCACTGCTTGGCACAGCTTGCACCTTTGAAGCCAGAGAGCTGGTGACTTTCTGCGCAGACTCCATGCTGCAAGCACCACGACACTGCAAGGCCAGGCACACCTGCCTCTACTCCGGAACAGGTCACCCAGCACAGGGACGGGGTGTGCAGATCTGCACTGGCCAAGGACGACATCTGGAGCAGCAGGCGTAAGACATGCACGGGTGAGAGGAGAGGCGGAGAGGCGGAGAGGCCGTGCCAGCAACAAGTAGCATTACAGAAAAGATCTCACACAGCAGAGGGTGCAAACAGTGCCTGGTGCTCCAGTTTCCGAGAAAGTAACCCCAGGAATCCAGTTCCAGCCCCATTGTGCGCATGTAGGGCGGGATTCAATTTCTGTCATTGTTTCTTCAGGTCTGGGCCGAAGCCATAGATCCTGGCACGGAAACATGGCTTCCAGAGAAGCCCGCCCTATGCAGCTACAGCCCATGGGGGCCAGAGCACGGGGATTGGCCTGGCCACTGGTGTCAAAAACAAAAATGAAAATTAATCATGAGGGTCTCCATATGAGAAACACCCTGAATTACAAAAACAAAAACCTTGGAATATTAAACAGGTCAATGCCTCCAGAAATCATTTATTTACATATTATATGTCCAGGATATAACGTGTAGATAAATGTGTCCTGCAGTGAAAGTGCCCGACCTACTGGACTAAACGGCACGTTATAGGACAGATTCTTGAAAAGGTTCATCTCACACTGGTATCTTTTAATAAAAAAAAAAATGTTTTTTTAAATCAAAGAAAATGTCTGGCTAGGGCTGGATGAGACACACAGGAGCACTGGAGAACCTGGGAGCTGTCTGCCCCTTCAGAGGGTGGGCTGCAAGGGGACATGTGTGCAGAAGTACTCACACGCTACACACTCAGCCCCGCCCTCCCCAGAAAGAAGCCAAACGGAGGACACGGGTACCCTCCCTGTCCCCGGGCCGCTGCACTGAAAGGAGGCCCTGAGGGAGTGAGGAGCCAGGGTGGGGGTCTGCGCTTCAGTCTAGTTTCCGGTCCCACGGCTCACAGAAGTCTTCAGTCATCTGATGCCCGACATGGAGCTCTGAGGGGAGACCGAGTACGTGGTGGCCACGACCGGGGTGCCGTTGTTGGCAGAGTAGCCTTGCCGCAACGTTTCAAAATACGACGCCTGCACGGGTTTGTGACACTGCAGCACTTTTATGGCCTCTTCTATCTTAAACCACTCTCTTTTCCTTCCTGTGAGGGCAGAGAAAAGACAGTAGTACAAGTGGAAGCAATGAGGAGGTTTCTGAGCCTACACGTTTTGAGAAAACGTGCATGAAAATATTAAAGCAATATTTCTCAATATTTTAAAAATATGTAGCTTATATTTTCTTTCTTTTTTTTGTTTCTTGAGGCAGGGTCTCGCTATGTAGTGCAGGATGGCTGTAAACTTGAAGCAGTCCTCCTGCCTTGGCCTCTCAAGTGCTGGGATCATGGGCCTGCACCACCACAGCCACCTCTACCAGTCCATTCTAGTACTGAATAAATCTGATAAAACATCATTTTTATATTTCTTCTTATACAATCTGATAAAAATAAATAAAAATATGCAATTTTTGGTCATCCTGTATTTAAATAATTGGACTATTAACTGGTTCGTGTCCCGGGAAAGAATCTGAGGGTAAAGACTAGCACGATAAAGCATCTGCCATGTTTTCCAGGAAGGCCGCTCTGAGCCCCGTGCTGCTCACCAGGCTGGAATGCATCTCACACAGCCTTGGTGGCATCTCTCACTGCTGATTACAGAGGTGAAAACTGGCATCTGCTCATAGCTGTCTCAGTTTCCATTTCGAATTCTTTTTCCCCAGTGCGGGGCTTGACCCAGGGGTTTAGAGAGCTCCCTCCCCAGCCTTGTTATTTGAAACTCTGAGATAGAGTCTTGCTTAGGTGCCTGGGCTGGGCCTGGCCCTGCGACCCTCCTGCCTCAGCCTGTGCCCAGCTTCGCCTCCTGTCCCAATGTGGCTCTGCTGATGCACAGGACCGTGATGGGGCCCTGCACCCCAGCTCTGCCCATGCGTGGCCCTGCTCTGCACTGAGGTCCCCCCTGTGACATGCGTGAGGGGCTCACTCAGCTCCCTCACCAGGCGCTGACTGCACAGCTGTTGAGGAGCAGCGTGTGGAGGCCCGGGGGCTCCTTGCTCACATGTGAGATGATGCCGTGTGGGCACTGCAGAGCAGTGACACCGTAAAACCCTGTGTCACAGGGGTGTGGGCCCCCGCCAGGGCCACATCTTGACCTCTGTCCCTACCCAGACCCAGCACTGGCACCAACATTCCTGCGCTGGGCTCACCACTGACGCAGGCACTGCATCATGGCGGGCACCAAACCCTCAGCACCAAGGGTACCACATGCCCAGCTCAACAGCGTGTGGGGCACAGGGATAAGGAAATGGGAAGGTCTCTCTCTCTTTTTTTGGTACTGGGGATCGAACTCGGGTCCTTGTGCTTGCAAGGCAGGCGGCGGAACCACTGAGCTAAATCCCTGACCTATGGATATGTGGTTTCTTTTCTTTCTTTCTATTTTTTTTTTTTTTGAATAATGGGAAGGTCTGCAAGGGACTGTTACCCACCTGCCACTTTAAACCAGGAATTACATTAATATCACACTCTCCCAAGACATACTTTCCTTAGGGTAAAAGACTACACCAAGCCAACTACACCACCTCAGCCAATAGTTCAAAAGATCTGAGAGATCAAAGAAACGGCTCCAACAGAGAAAGAGAGGGCCCTGCAGGGGAGGATGACAAAGCCGGTGGCCACCCTGTTCCTCTGCATTCATGGACAATTCTGCTGAGGGCTCATCCATCAAACCAAGTTTTCGCTAATGTATGAACAACGTTTTCCTTACAGTACTGGGGTTGAACCCAAGACCTTTGCACTCAGCTACATCTGTATGCCTTAAATACACTCTTCATTTGGAGACATGGCCTTAAGTTGCCCGGGCTGGGATGGAACCTGTGATCCACCTGCCTCAGCCTCCGAGTACTAGGGTTCCAGCATATGCCACCATGCCCGTCTCCCTTGGTGCTGTGCACTGAGCTCAGGGCCTCATGCATGCCAGGCAAGTGCTGTACCACTGAGCTGCACCCCCAGGCCAGCAGCATGGACAAGTGTCAGGAGAAGCAAGACCAAGGCCCTGCTCTCACTGTTGGCCCCCAGCACCAAAGAATCAGCCCCATGGGGAGCAGCCAATTTGACTTCAGAAACATTTCTAATTCTCATGGGCCCGCTTCAGCCTCCTTTTAGCATTTCCAAATACTTTCTCAAGTTCAAACAAAGGCGCTGAGCTTCCTAAGCACACCCTGCTATTCCTTCTGGGCTTCAGCAGGCTCCCCCTGCTTCTGGGCAGGGCCTGGTGGTGTGTGGGGTCCGGCGGGCAGTGCGACTCACCGATGTTAACCGAGTCCTCCCAGTCGTCCAGCACTTCTGTGACGATGAGCACATATACGTACGTCCTGTGCTTCCTCTCCTGGTTCTGAGGGGCCGGAGAGAGCGCAGAAGAGTTAGACATAGCACGTGTCCAGGGAGCTTGGGCTAGCCTCCTCTTACCTCCACTACCCGGAAATCATGGCCTACTGAAACAGGCCGAGCCTGAACTTGAGGGTGTACTCTCAGGCCAGCTTTTCAAACCCAGACTCCACACTCATTTTTCCCTCTCCTTCCCGCCTGCAGCTTCCCAGGGATGTTCTGACTTCTCAAGAGAAAGTCCCTGCCCCTGGGCCACGCATAGCCCAGACTGAGAGAGCGGGGGAGCCCTGGGCGTCCTGGCCTCCCCTTCCCTGCGAGCCCTGCCCTGGAGCAGCTTCTCGCTGCCTCCTACCCACACCTACTTACCTCTCGTTCTCCCCTTCCCCTCTACACAACCATGCTCCCTCCCGCCTCGCCTTGAGAGAAGAAGAAGACAGGGAGGACAGGATAAAAACACGACTAACTCCAGTTAGGAGGAAGAGCCGAGGACATTGAGGAGGAGGAACGCGACTCGCTGCTGTGCTGCTCTGCTCTGACAACGGGGTGAAACACAGACAGCTTCTTTCCCAGATCGGGAGTATGTGGCTAAGGTGCCATTTGGACTAGAGACGCTAAGAGACTTACCTCAAATACTCCAACTAATCTTCCCAGTGTCCCTTTTACTCCAGCCTGAAAAGGTAAAAAGAAAAACTAACACACTGATCTCGTTATGTTGCTGGTCTCATCCCAAGTCTTCCTGAGCAGTCTTGTGAAAAAGAAATGAAGAACAAGACGCAGCTGGAGCGGACTCGGTCAGGGGGCTTACACCGCACTCCCTGCAGGCACAGCACACACTGAGGAGCTCACCCCCACGCCAGCGCTGGCCAGAGTGGGGCGGCCAGCTGAGACCAATGAAGCTGCACCAAAAATGGGTCTTGGTGTTAACTGCTTCACTTATTCATGCATGCAAGACACACACACACACACACACACACACACACACACACACACACGCTAATGTGAATAGGAAACAGTGCAGGTGCCACATCCCACAGAGCAAGGACAGGCAAGAAGGCAAGGGCCAGAGGAGGGGGAGCAGGTGGCTGGCTCCGCTGTCCTCACTGCAGCCTGCAGGGTCAGAGGACAGCATCCCGGGGACAGGCACCGCAGACCCGCACGGAGGAGTGACGTGGCGGGCTGCATGGACGAGGGCACTGCGGTGCGTGGATGACCTATGTTTGTCTGGAGACAGTCTAGGTTGGCCTTGAACGTCAGACCCTCCTGCTCCCACGTGCTGGGACTGCAGGCAACACCATGCCCAGATGGCCTTAACATGCGGACTTTCTATCTTCCATCACCATTTCCAATTTTTTGCGTCTTTCTGATACTGCAGATGAATTCTCTAGTCTACACCAATTCATTAATTTTCAAGTGTATCCAGGCTGATATGTTTCCTGTTCTTTTCATATCTACCTGTTTCCCTGAGTGCTTTGACCCCAGTCCCAGGGGCAGAACCCAGGGCCTCGAGCACACCAGGCAAGGGCTCCAACAGTGTGGCGTCTGCTCGGCCCTCACTTACTCTCTGGGCCTCCTGAGTGCAGGTTCCTTGCGGGCCTCACTCCCTCACTCTGTCAGCCGGGTGAATGCACAAGGTTGTGCTCTGCGCCTCTCTCCCTGCTCTCCAGGCCAGTGTCCGGGACGAAAGGGATCATCACAGAGGAGAACCACAGGACCAGGGCAGTGCTGCTCCCTCGCAAGATCGGCACCCCTGGGCCCAAGCCTTCACACAGCTTCCACTCCCAACCGCACGGCTGGAGGGACCTGGGGTCCCTGACTCTCAAGGGCCCGACCGCAGGCCACCCAATGCCAGTTGTTCTGCAATTCTGTTTTGTTTCTGATCCACGAAGAATCCACCTCCATTTTGGGCCAGGCTACGTCTTTTTGGCATCTGCTGCATGTGTTGTATCTATTTATGTGTGTATTTGCTGGAGGCAGAAGGAATGAGAAGGGAGGGAGAGAAAAACCCCTAAAAGTGCTTTCTTAGGTGATGCTAGAATTAGAATTATATTATGACTGCCGAGTTATTTGTGTAATAAATTAAAAATTAAGGTAAGGGCCAGGGATTTAGCTCAGTGGTTCCAACGCCTGCCTTGCAAGTGCAAGGTCCCAAGTTCGATCCCTGGTACCAAAAAAAAAAAAAAAATTAAGGCAAAATACTTTGAAACACAGTAGTACTCTGTAAGTTTATAAAGAATTAACAAAATTTTTAAAAGTACTCTAAAAGGGAGGGGGATTTAGCTCAGTGGTTCTGCTGCCTGCCCAGCGAGTGCAAGGTCCTCAGTTCAATCCCTGGTACCAAAAAAAAAAGTACTCTAAAACTTTTTTTTTGGTACCAGGAATCAAACTCAGGACCTTGCGTTTGCCAAGCAGGCGTAGTGCTGTTGAGCTACATCCCCAGCCCCCCACCTTTTTTTGCAAAAAGGTCTCACCACGTAGTCCAGGCTGTCCTTGAACTCACAGCGATTCTCCCGCCTCAGCCTCCCAAGTGCTGGGATTACAGGCATGTGCCACCACGCCTGGCTCTAAAACTTTTTTTTTTGGTACCAGGGATCGAATTCAGGACCTTGCACTTGTGAGGCAGGCGGAGGAACCACTGAGCTGAATCCTCGGCTTCCAGAAACTTAAACTATTTTGAAATTAGTATCTGCTAACTATCTGCCAAGGAATCTTATTCCTCTCTTGCCAACATACCTGCTCTCTCTATTGTTTTATACTTTCTTTTTTTCCCTTTTTTGGTACTGGGGATTGAACTCAGGACCTTGCACTTGCCAGGCAGGCGAGAGGCCACTGAGCTAAATCCACGGCCCTGCCCATTCTTTATATTCATCGACCCATATGGCTTCTGGCCTACTTAAATAGAAATGTCTATCTTTTCTTAAATTGTTTCTCTTACATTTTTAGAAATAATTGCCCTTTAAAGCTGACTAAAACTAGCAAGTTTTCATCTCATGAATTAACCAACATAAACTGCAAGGGAAAAGCAGGAAGGGCTGGAAAGGCAGTTCCTGTTCGGGCCCAGGCAGCCACCAACAGTGGCCTCCTGAGAGATCACGGTGTTGCTGGCCCAGGGCTATAGTGCTGGGACCCGGAGGAGAGCGGGGTGGGGAGAGGTCGAAAGAGCGATTTGCAGAGGTCATCACTTACCCTTCTCTTCTGGAAAGTGGAGAGAGCATACCCTTTAGCAGCTACTGTCCAACCAATTTGTTTTTCCTTAGAGAAATTAAAAGTTTACCTGGGCATAGTGGTGCATGCCTGTAATCCCAGCACTCTGGGAGGCTGAGACAGGAGGACTGAAAGCATGAACCCTGCTTGGGCAATTTATTCAGACCCTGTCTCCATCAACCAATCAACTGATCAAATGTAAAAAGGGCTGGGGCTGTAGCTCAGTGTGAGGGCCTTGGGTTCAACCCCTAGTCACACACACACACACACACACACACACACACACACACACACAAATAAATGTAGTCCCTGAAAAGAAAAACAACAACAAAAATATATGCTTCAATA